GATTCCACTCAAGTATACAGAGCAAGACTCCGTCTCAAAAAAAAAAAAAAAAAAAAAAAGTCTCAAGGCCCAGAGATTTTCTAGGCAGGAAGATTTCACCCCTTTCCATGGTTGTTTCTTCCATGCCTGGCCATGGAAGGCTGTGCCACATCTGTCCCTCCTAGGGTACACTAAACTGTTTAGTCTCATTATTTATGGGAATACTGAAGAGTCAACCACCCCTACTAGAAGCTGTCAGCTCTTCCACACAAACAAAAGGTCTTGGGCCTCCTGCCTGCCTATCTGGCAGTGAGGGCATTGGCCATGGGGGCAAAAGCTGTTGCTGGGCTTCAGGCCCTTTGTGGGCAAGAGACAGCTGGAAGAGCTGAATCAGTTCCTACTGAGACCCCTCCAAAACAGTGGAAGAGAGGTGAGAGGAGACTGTTCCCTCAGGAAAAGCAGGAGGTGGCTGGGCGCAGTGGCTCATGCCTGTAATCCCAGCACTTTGGGATGCCAAGGCCAGCGGATCACTCGAGGTCTGGAGTTCAAGACCAGTCCGGCCAACATGGTGAAACCCCGTCTGTAATAAAAATTCAAAAATTAGCCAGGCACGGTGGCACGCACCTGTAATCCCAGCTGCTTGGGAGGCTGAGGCAGGAGAATCCCCTGAACCTGGGAGGTGGAGGTTGCAGGGAGCTGAGATCGCACCACTGCACTCCAGCCCAGGCAACAGAGTGAGACTCCATCTCAAAAACAAAAAACAAAAACAAACAAACAAACAAAAAAACAAAAGCGGCAGGGCACTGGCTCAAATGACAGCCCTATGATGGAGCAATATAAACCACCACGACTCCTAGTGGCTCCTGGGTGCTGGCGCTGGTCTGGGCAAGGTATTCACTATTACATCCTGTTTAAAGTAATCTACACAATTTCCCCCTTACTGTTTCCTTCAGAAAGGTACTAACTGACTTATGTAAGCCATATGGCTAGTCACTGGGAGAGCTGTTCTAGCCTAGTGCTCTCTCCATGCTGCCATGATGCCCCTGGAAAGCTTAACCTCAGCCATCAGAGACTTAGCTCACACTCCAGGACAGCCAGATGGATATCCGGAGCCTGTGTTCTTATCTCCTCTTTCCCATCCCCAGCTGGGCAAAAGACAACCTGTGGCCAGGGTCTGGAGGGGCCCTGGGAGCGCCCACCCCCTCTGGATGAGCCCGAGAGAGATGGAAGCTCTGAGGACCAAGTGGAAGACCCAGCACTAAGTGGTAAGGCTTGGGAGTGTGGAATGAGGAGGCGGGGCTGGGATCTTGGTGGATGGGGCCAGGCCCTGAGTGCCTCTCTGCTTGCCTTTCAGAGCCTGGGGAGGAACCTCAGCGCCCTTCCCCCTCTGAGCCTGGCACATAAGCACCCAGCCTGCATCTCCCAGGAGGAAGTGGAGGGGACATCGCTGCTCCCCAGAAACCCACTCTATCCTCACCCTGTTTTGTGCCCTTCCCCTCGCCTGCTAGGGCTGCGGCTTCTGACTTCTAGAAGACTAAGGCTGGTCTGTGTTTGCTTGTTTGCCCACCTTTGGCTGATGCCCAGAGAACCTGGGCACTTGCTGCCTGATGCCTACCCCTGCCAGTCATTCCTCCACTCACCCTGTGGGAGGTGGGATGTGAGACAGCGCGCACTGGAAAATCCAGAAAACCAGGAACAGGGATTTGCCCTTCACAATTCTCCCCAGATCCTCTCCCCTGGACACAGGAGACCCACAGGGCAGGACCCTAAGATCTGGGGAAAGGAGGTCCTGAGAACCTTGAGGTACCCTTAGATCCTTTTCCATCCACTCTCCTATGGAGGATTCCAAGTCACCATTTCTCTCACCGGCTTCTACCAGGGTCCAGGACTAAGGCGTTTTTCTCCACAGCCTCAACATTTTGGGAGTCTTCCCTTAATCACCTTGCTCCTCTTGGGTGCCTGGAAGATGGACTGGCAGAGACTTCTTTGTTGCGTTTTGTGCTTTGATGCCAGGAATGCCGCCTAGTATATATCCCAGTGGGGCACATGGTAGGGGGCGCCAGGTTTTCCTTGTCCCCCAGTTGCTCTGCCCCCTTCCCCTTTTTCCCTGACTCCAGGCCTGAACCCCTCCCGTGCTGTAATAAATCTTTGTAAATAACTGTGCTGAGACTCCTCTTTCAGGGGAAGCGGGAGGAAAAGGGAGGTAATGGGGCATCCTGATAGGGAAGGCCAGTGGTCAACCAAAGGTTAGGGTTTTGACCCTACTGTCCAATCCTCTAGTCTAGGAGTCTTTCTGGCAGACAGCAGACTCGGGGCACTCAGAGTAAGAACCACAGAAGTTCTAGCTCCTGCTTGGGATAGCTGAAGGAGGCAGGTGGGGTGGGTGGGGTGGGGAAGTCCTTCTCGAGTAACTGGATTCCTCCAAAGATTCCCCCATCCCCACAGGGCTCCCCTCGGGAAATTCCCCCTTTTCCCTCAGAGCCAGGCCTGTGTGGCCTAATAACTACGGCCCCGGTGTTCTTTCCACCCCCCTACCCTTAAGTTAGATTTCAGCCTTCGCGCCCGCTTCTGCGCAGGGCCAGGGCTGGAGGCGGGGCGAAGGGGCGGAACCGCAGGCGGACGCACGTACCGCTTCGCTCTCAGGGGCAGACTCAGCGGCGGAAGTGGCGCCGCTGAAAGATCTTCTTCCGCTCTGAGGCGCTACTGAGGCTGCGGAGCCGGAGTGCGGCTGGGGCGGGAAGAGCTGGGGCCGTGGCTGACATGGAGCAGGTGGGTCCCGGAGCGGTCGGTGGGAGCGGGTGGCGTGAAAGGGCCGTCTCCCGTTGGTCGAACCCGCTTCCCCATCCGCTGTCTATGCTGGTTTCCATCCGACCCTTCCCACACCCGCTGCGTCTCAGGTTCCGTCCCCTTCCTCTGCCTGGCCTCGCTCCGCCCCGCGCGGGTCGGGGTCTCCAGCACTGACTCTTGGCGACCCCCCTATCCTGGGGAGCCCGGGGAGGGCGTTCGGGATCTCCTTCCAAAACCTCCGTCTTAACTGAGGAGAGAGGCGAGGGGAAGGTGTCTGGGTGTTACGAGCAGGGGCAGGTATGGGGAGGGGTCGGAATCTGGGATGAGAGGAAAACATCTACGCATTCCGGTAGGTCTGCGTCTCAGTGTCATCCCTTATCTCCCCAACTTCCTTTGGAAACGGCTGTGAATAACTTCCTAATTGATATTAAAAGGGCCCTTTAAAGTCTTGAGTTCTTAGAGGTGCATAGTACCATTGACACTCATTCCTAATGACACGTTCCCCCACCCCACCCCTATTTTGGCTTAGTCAGTGTCTCCTGGTTTTCTTCCTACCGCTCTGACAGTCGGTCAGAAGTCCCGCTTCACGTTTTCCTGTCACCCAACTCCTCGCTCTGTACACTGAATCTCAGTGGTCTCATTTACCCCGACGGCTTCAGCTTTACGCCAACTAAATACCCAGATCCACATCTTCAGCGCAGCCCTTCCCTGGAGCTCCACGCTTGATTATCCAGCGGCCATTGGGACAGCTCTGCTTCACGTGGAGCTCACCGGATCCAAACTTGAACTGGTCTTTTCCGTGCAGATTAATTCTTCCTCTACCCTAACCCAGGCGGAAATCTGGTAATTACCTTACACTTTCTCCTCTCTTTCAAGTCCCACATCTTAAAAGTGACCTAGTACTGCCAACTTCGTGAACATCCTTCACACTGGGCCCACTCCATCTCTTCTGTTACCACGCTATTGATGTGTTGTCAATTCCCAACAGTCCGGCCCTGGCAGCTTGCAACCCAGTCTCCAAACTGTAAGTCTTGTGATCCTTTTAGAACACAAGTCTGATGGTGCCAATTCCTTGCTGATAACCTTTTTCTGGCTTTCTGTTGCCTATGTGCTGAACGCCTAGCACAATTTACACGGCTCTCTGTGATCTGACCTAGCAGTCTCCTATGTGCACCCTAAGGTCCAATAATATGGCACTGCAGCATGTGCCATGCCTACCCTTGCTGTTCATATCTTCGTCACTTTGCACACACCAGCCCCCGCCGCTTGAAAACCTCCTTCTCTTGTCTGCTGAGCTACCTTCTACAGGTTTTTCAGTGCAGGCAGCACTGCACCCCCCCAACTCCCAAGGTTAATTGCCCCTCTGTGTCCTGTAGCACCCTGTCCATAATAGCATAGTAGCTGAGAATACAGACTCCTGGATCAGACTGCCTGGGCTCTGACCTGTTTGGTGACCTTGATGAAGTCAGCTGCGCAATTTCCTCACTTGTAAAAGGGAGGTAGGAATGTCCCTACTTCATAGGGTTGTGAGGATTGAATGAAATATTGTAGGTTTAGGTCTTAAACCAGTGCTAGGCACAAGAATGCTCAATAAAAGTGAGTTGCCTGGGTGCAGTGTAATCCCAGCACTTTGGGAGGCAAGGCAGGAGGATCGCTTGAGGCCAGGTGTTTGCAACTAGCCTGGGCAACATAGTGCGATCCCATCGCTACAAAAATTTAAAAAACTAGCTGAGCATGGTGGTACGTGTGGGAGGATCCCTTGAGCCCGGGAATCTGAAGTTACAGTGGGGTATGGTTGTGCCACTGCACTCTAGTGTGAAGGACACAGTGAGATCCTGTTTCTCAAATAAATAAATAAAAAGATAGTTATTACTATTATGTAAGGACAACATAGCTCACCAGTTATGATTTTTAATTTCATAAGTTGTCTGAGGATGGTCGATGTGGCTTACTTGTCATTTGATAGAGCCTGGCTCTTTGTCAATAAATAAAATGCTAGAGTGGAGGACACGGAGGGCAGGATCTGGATTTATTGAGTGAAGATTCAAGAGTGAAAAAGGCTCAGACCTGGTCTGTTCAGGAAAACCAATCTGGAAATGTGTGCATGTTACATGGCAAGCATTCAATCTAGAGAAATGTATACAGAGCTGGGAACTAGAGGGAGAAAAAGACCAGGGGTGGCTTCTGAGGAGCTGACAGTTAATGGGAGCTATAAAGCGAGGGGAGGATTTTATCAGAAGGAGGCAGAGGCTGGAGTGGGCTCAGAGATCAGAAAGCTGGGTCCTCTGAACAGAGCTCCAGTAGATGGTGGCTGGGTGGGGGAACAGGGGAGACGGAGCTGAGGAAGACAGAGGCAGCGTCCTCTGCTGAGGCTGGCAATTCCTTTCCTGTATTGGCCATAAGGAAGCATCCCTTGACTTGGGAGCCAGCAGGGACCATGCCTGGGGGCATCTGTGCTCTGGAGGCTTAGTACCTGGTGTTTGGGGCCAGACGCCCTGGGTAGGGCCATGGTGCATGCCTTTGGGCTGGGCCTTTTTTGGAGCTCTTTTGCCTGCCTGTAATGCCCACCCTCCTTGCCTCCAGCTGATAGATGCTGACTCTTCAAGGCCAGGGTCAGATGACCTCCTCCCTGTGGCTTTTTTGACTTCACTCATTCCAGCCTGGGTCAGATGATCCCTTCTCTGGGAGCCCACGGTCCTTTGTTCATTCCTCCCTGAAAGCGCTGATCACAGCATGATATTATTTATCTGCCAGTCTTCCTCACCAGACCCAGAGTCCCTGATGGACCAGAATAGGGTCCTGTGGCCCCAGGACTTGCACTGTGTCCAGCACGCTGTAGCCCTTGGTACCTGCGTGTTGCATTAAGTTGAGCTCTCACACAGCTAGACTTGTTAAGGGAGAGCAGTGTGCGGGAGACCAAAAATCCAGCACATCTGGCAGCTTGTGCCTGTTCCACTGAGTGCGAGACCTTGTTGGCTCTACTTTACAGATAAGGAAGCTGAGGTTCAGGGGAGGTAAGGTCAAGATCACTCAGCAGGGATTTAAAGAACTGTCTCCTGACTCCAGGTCTGCATGTCTCTCAGAAACTGCCTTGGGGTCCCAGCTTCCAAGGGGGCAGCTGCCACATCAGTGGGACAAAAAATAAGTGTCCCTTTTTCTGGCCGAGGAGAGGCTAATCCTGGCTTTGTCCAGGCAGGGTTGGTGCCTGGAGGATCCTGTGCTAAAACTGCGCCCTCCCCCCACTTGTTCTTCGCCCTCTGGGGGCCTTTTCTTGAGAGAGCCTTTTCTCCCGAAGATGACTGGCCCTTTCCGGAGTAACCTTGGGAACTCGACCTCATTGATTTAGTAGCAGCACGAAGGGGGCAGGTGGGGCCTGATTCACTGGCCCTGACTGGGTCAGGGGTCATGGAATCACAGAACTGGGGGCATCCCTGAGGATTCACAGGGCCTGGCACAAGGGGAAAGGAGGGTGAGTGGATCTCAGTGTGTTAGGGTCTTCCTGTACACTGCAGCCGCAGAGCCTCCCCGGCCCGGGGAGGAGTGTGCGGTGGTGAGTCTTGTTTCTGTTTGGCTTAAGTCTTCGCCTTCCGCTTCCTCGGAAGGAAAGGAGAAACGGAGCCAGGCTTTGACTTTGGGTCTTATTTGTCATTGTAGCTGTGTCCTCCTCTCTCTACACTCCCACTTCTCCAGGGGATTTCCCAAATCCTCTGTGGAGGGCTACAGTAGGGCCAGTCAGCCAGCTGTCCCGAGGCTGATGGCATGGGCCAGTAACCCTGAATGTGCCATCCTAGCCAGGCGCAGTGATACGTACCTGTAGGCTCAACTACTTGGGAACCTACTCCCAAGTTTTTGACTCCAGGATTGATGCCCAACCCCAAACCCGTACCCTTTTTCCTGTTCCAGGGTGGACATTACGGATCCACAGACTAGCTGACTTACTAGACATGTACCGTGGCCAGGCACTGTGACTGTGACTTGGACGTCAAGGGCTTAGGACAGATGGCCTTGAGACATCTAGCTGTGATAAGGGAAGTGCTGACCCAGAGTTACTTGGGAGGCTGAGGCTTGAGCCTAGGAGTTTGAGACCACAGTGTCCCATGATTGTGCCTGTGAATAGCCACTGCACTCCAGTCTGGCAACATGGTGAGACCTGTCTCTTAAAAAAAAAAAGTGCCATTCTGGGTCGGCCCCCTGAAGCCGGGGTCTACCTTCCATTTAGCAGTACTGCTGGGACTCTCAGTTTGGGCAAAGTGCTATGCTGGACCTGCCTGGCCAGTGCCCTGCCTCTAACACTGTCCCCATGGGGAATAGTAGTAATAGCTGCTGTTAATTAAGCACAGACACTGCATGTGTTATTTCTAATCCCTTCAAGCTCTGTGAAGTAGGCACTATATTCTCCCCATTTTAAGGAAAAGGAGGCTGAAGTTCAGGGAAACCCAGTGGTTTGGTCAAGGGCACACAATCTAATAAGGAATGGCGTTAGGTTTTTGCCTCCAGGACTGGTGTCCAACCCCAAACCCACATCCTTTCCTCTGTTCCAAGGTGGACATTACGGATCCACAGGCTAACTTACTAGACATGTATCATGGCCAGGCACTGCGATTGTGACTTGGACCTCAAGAGCTTAGGACAGATGGCCTAGAGACATCTAGCTATGATAAGGGAAGTGCTGACCCAGAGTTCTGAAAGGTTAGGGGAGTCTGGAGGGTGAGGAGAAGCTCTGCCCAGGAGGTGACATTTGAACTAGTCATCTGAAGTGCCAGAGTTCTCCCCAAAGGAAGGAGGTCATTCAAGAATGAGGAAACAGGGAGCCCAGGCGATGGGCTGTGGTGTGTCCTGGGAGCAGCCAATGATCAGCAGAGTAGAGGCTGCGAGTGTTGACCCACATAGCAAAAGAAGAGTTCTGGGGTCTGGAGTCCTCCCTCCTCCTTAATCCTCCCCTGTTATCAAAGACTCAAGGTTAACTCACCTTGAGTCTTCTC